CAGCCGGGCAGCTGCGACTGGCTCAGCAGGGCTCCGGCCCGTAACTTGCTGGCCGTGGGCAGCTCCCCGCCCGGCTACCCCCTGGGCCACTTCTCGTCCCCCCCTTCCCCGGTACCTGTAGTTCCAGCAGATCCGTCATGGAGTCGAGGTCGGTGTTGTCCCAGCAGGGTCCAGGCGGCCCAATCCAGGGGTCGAGGGGTTGGAGCTCTGTAGCGTCCCACGGGCTCATCCGGCCCCGGTGTTCCAGTACCCACTGGGGGTCCAGCTGGTCTAGTGGTTCGGGCCAGTCCTCTGGGTCCTCGGGTTGTTCTGCTGGCTGGCGTGGCAAGGCCTCAGTAGTCCCAGCAGGGAAGCCTTGGCAGACCTCCAGGGAGGTGGCTGAGGACAGCCTAGCCCAGGTCTTAGCCTCCCAAGGCAGGAGCTCTGGGCCGGCCTCCGGCTCCCTCGGAGGCTGGGCCCTGACTGAGCTCCCAGGCAGCCTTCTTATAGTCCTAGTCCCGCCCTTTGACTTCCGGTCAGGTGAGGGGGCGGGGCTAGGCTGGGCCCAAAATGGCTCCCAGAGGCGTTCCTCCACCTCCAGCTCAGTGGGTGGCCATTCCACTCCTTTACAGAGCCGGACTGCCTGCACACCTGGCTCCTATTACATTTAAACTGAAGAGCTGCCAGGGGGTAGCTCCTGGACTGGCACAAACTGGGACAGAGTGCCTTCCCTTGTCGACTCATTGTGTAGTTGGTACAAATTGTATCGACTGCACAGTTAGTCAGTTTCCTGCCTCTTTAACATCCTTAGTAACAAACTGATGTATATTTGCTTTTCATTCAGACTGCTATAGGTTGAACTTCTCTACTCTGGCATTCTGGGACCTTACCGATTGCAAAGCAGAGAATTCGCCGAACCACAGGAGGTCAATGTTATCTAGCAGTACCACCAACACTTCCAATGCTTACTGGGCTCTTAAATATATTTTGGGGTAAATTGGAACTAAATATCAGCACAGAACCCGGAGAGCTGGGACTGGTGGCTGTAAATAAACTTTATGGGATGGTGGGAAACTTGGCCACACTGATATGTGGACATCCAGCTAACTTAAAATCATGCTGGGCCACGGATATACCTGACCAGAGTGCTGGATTAGAGAGATTCAACTATGCTATATTTTGCAAAACTTAAAAAGGAGAGAATGTTTTGTCAGGGCAGGCGGTCCTGTTAACATCAGGATTATTGCTAGGTGCTGTTAGCAACAGAGAGTCTTGTAAATAGGCAATCACTAGCAGCATTTCACGGTTATTAAGAGATGGTGATCAGGAACTTTACAGCATATGCTGTTCAAAGGCTTAGATGCAGCATTGTAAAAACTCAAATGCTTGAACAAATAGCAGATACAGGGATAAAGGATGTGCTTGTATCCAGTCAGGTCCAGTGCTTTGAAAAGGCATCCAGAATGTACATGCATTGACCTCTAAGCTACACTACAAAGTTGGGTCAACGTAAACTACCTTGTGACAGCCCAGTTGTGCACGTGTCTACATTTAAATGTCTCCTAGCTAGGTAAGCACGCTGGTAGAGTAATGCAGTAACGGTCAATGGACTGAGATCGGCACTGTACAAGTGAGGAAGCTACATTACCTGTGTTAACCCTAACAGGCACCCTGCAGCTGTCTCTCAGCTCAGCACCTGAAACAACCATTCTGGTTGCAGTTATGAATTCCACTGCTCAGGGGTCGCAGAGACCGTTGCCTTCCCCCTCCCGCAACCTGTTTCAGCTCTGTAGATTTTCAACATGCATTGGCCAGTTTGGCAAGCACATCTAGCAGCTCTCTATTGTTGTGCGCAGCTGCCTAGCTGAGCATGCCAGCTGCATACTCCAGATCAGAGGTCTCCAACCTTTTTACACCCAAGATCACTTTTTAAATGACCGACCAAGCCAAGATCTACCGCCCCACCCCTTCCTTGAAGCCCCGCCCTCTCTATTCTCCTCCTCTCCATCACTTGCTATCCCCTATCCTTATACTGCTACTTTAAAAAAAAAATTCCCACCATTTCTCACAGCTACTCACCTGTGCTGTTGCTCGGTGAGTAGCTGCTCCTCAAATGAGGAAATCTAATGTAAATGTCCTGCGCAGGCGCGCAGTTCAGAGAGGGCTCAAGAGCTACTCTTAGAGCCCCTGAGATCTACTGGTAGATCGCGATCTACTGGTTGGTGACCACGGCTCCAGATACATTTTGGCTGGGAATAGACCAGAAGTATTGGTTTTCCTGGACCTGTGGGGAGAAGAGGACACCTGGGAACGGATTGCCTGGCAGTTGCAGAAGGGATACAAGAGAGAGCAGTGGCAGTACTGCATGAAAGCAAAGGAGCTGCAACAGGCATGTCAGGAGGCAAAGGATCCATCCAGTGCTGAACTGCAGACCTGCTGCTTTTACAGAGGGCTGCATGCCTACTTGGCAGAGATCCCGCTGCCACCGTGCACGCCACCATAGACACCTCCAAGAAGCCCATGTCTTTTTGGCTGGGAAAGAGAGAACCTGCTTGTAGCTTTCTTTAGAGTTGTGTTCTTGAGGCTTCAAGCATCCTGTGCCTTCCCTGACCAGTCAGTGTGGGTGTTGACGATTCAGTGCTTACGTAACCATAGCAAAGTAGCCCTTTCTGCTGACACATCCTGTGGCAAGGTGATCTGATGCCAAACTAGGGATAGCATGCTCTCTCTTGCTCCACTGCAGTCTGAGAACCCCATTGCAGATCCATCCACTGTGGCCTGCATGTTGCCAAGAGCAGTCCTGCCTAACTGGAGACAGTTAATGGCCCTGCACACTTGTAGGACAGTGGCTCCCAGACCGGATTTTGCAACTCTGAAATGACTTCCTACTGACTGGTAGCGACCCAGCATTTCAGATCACCACGGTGGGATTTACTCTGTTCTCCGCTGTCCGTGCAGCTTCCATTCTGGTGTCCCTGCGCTGGAGGGCTGGGGCAAGCTCAGCACCAGGATCCTGGACCGTGGCTCTGTGCATCCAAACGTTCTGCAGTTACTGCTCATCATCCTAAGTAGGGGCGTGACCAATTTACTGACTGGTAGCGACCCAGCATTTCAGATCACCACGGTGGGATTTACTCTGTTCTCCGCTGTCCGTGCAGCTTCCATTCTGGTGTCCCTGCGCTGGAGGGCTGGGGCAAGCTCAGCACCAGGATCCTGGACCGTGGCTCTGTGCATCCAAACGTTCTGCAGTTACTGCTCATCATCCTAAGTAGGGGCGTGACCAATTAACTGGGA